GACCAGACATGGGCTTCCCAGGGGGTGGGTGGCATCTGGTGGATGAGGCTGCTTAGGAAGCCTGGCAGCCTCCTCTGTCCCCAGCAGGGCGGGCCTGGATCAGTCTGCCCGCCACATGGGAGGGAGCACGGAGAGATCAGGGAGCCCGAGAATGTGCAGCCTCACGTCTCACCCCAGGGGAGGCTCTCACTGGCTCTGCAGCCCTTGATACTCCACATCTTTAGGTCCCTGAAGAGCACAGGGAAGGGCGGACAAGACTTAGTTGCTCAGTGGAACTCATTGTCCCCACCAGTCGGTGCCTGTCACTGCTGATCTTAGGGTCCTGGCATTGCCTGGGGGCCTGGTGCTGCGCGTGGGAGCCGTGTTGGGCTGACCGTCCCTCCAGCCAGCTGGGGTGCCCATGGCACCCCCGGGGTTAAGCACTGGTAGCTGCACACATTCACACTCCATGCACACATGGTTTCCCATAGCTGCTTGTAAGATGCAGTTTAAAAATGTACCGTGTGGGATGATTTTGTGCAGTCGCCAGCCTGAAGCTCAGGGCAGGCACATGCCTGGTCTGTGCAGCTTTGCCCGGGCTTCCCCTGGGTGTGCTGTGCTGCTCACAGTGCGGGGCTGGGGGCTGGGGCTGGGGGCTCCGGCCAGTGGGGATGCTGGGGTGCACGTTTGAGAGCAAGCCGTGTAGAGGGTGGTGGTGATGACCATCACCTGGCCAGAATCCCGAGAAGCTCCGCATGCTCTTTTTCTTTTTGACATCAACAGCCCCTTTTAAAAAGGATTTGCTGTTCCACGTTGTTTCCCGGATGTCGTTCTTGAGTCCATCTTGTGTAGCCTTTCAAGGGAATACATGTTTTTATTTGGTCTTGACGTTAACTTACAATTCGAGGGCCTACAGGATGTGGTGTGAGCCCAGCAAAGTGCTGCCTGCCTTCCATCCCAGCGACTCAGGAGGCTGGGGCAGGAGGATCACTTCAGCTAGGAGTTGGAGAACAGCCTGGGTGACATAGTGAGACCTCATCTCAAAAAGTAAAAATAAAAACAAATAGAACATGGCGAGAACTGTGGGCACCGCCCCGCAGGGAGGCACCCGCACAGCAGGGAGAGTTCACCTACGTCGTCTGCAGCCTCCGGCTTCATCTCTTTATGGACTTGCCGGCCCCCACCCCGGGACAGGGGATAGGCAGCCTCATAAAGGCTGGGTGCATGTGGACACCCAGGGGCAAGGGGGTGCCGGCCAGGGCACAGGCTTGGGTGGGTTCCCCCTCGCAGGCCAGACCTCATGCTGTTGTCACCTGCCATCCCAACTTGGCTGAAGCCAATTCCTGATGTGTGGGGGTCCGAGAGCTGGGAGGTAGAGGCAGGATCCTTAGTCACAGGAATACTATCAAAGCCTCAGGACAGTTCCCCGGTGGCTTCCTGGGAAGAGGCGGTGGTGTCCATCCCAGCGCTGAGAAGCACAGAGAACCCGGGAGCCGCCGCCTCAGCACCCTACGTCTCCAGCTTCCTGTTCCTGCTCCTAAGCACAGGGCAGTCTGCCCCAGCCTGAGCCCCCCGCCTCTGCTGTTCTCGGCTCGCAGGATGGTGTTCTGCCAGACCAGCAGCACCCTTGCCGTCCAGAGTGGATGGTGGAGGGGCCACATGGCCGTGGGCATGTGCCAGCCTGAGCCAGGGTTCATTCTCCCATGGGGTCTGTGCCGCCAGCCTTGCTCCAGCTCCTCCCCTGCCCTGGACAGTGCCTGCTTACATCCAAGTGGCTTCACACCAGCCTCCTTCACACCAAATTCTGTCCCCTTTGGTCCTTGACCCTTCCCTGCGCAACTTGAACCCTGGGTTGAGTGAGGCTGGGGCAGGGCCACGTCCTCTCCTGCCAAGGCTGGTAAAACTCAGACTTGCCCCTGGCCCACCCGTGTGCGTGGTTTGCCGCTGACCCCCAGAGGTCTGGACTTCATCCCAACCGTGAGAGGCCATTGCAGTGGTGCCAGCTTCCTCCTGACTGCAGTGCAGCCCCCGGGGGCCATTACTGGGCCCTGCCCCACTCCGGAGGGCCACACGGCAGGGACCAGGCAGTCACACCATGGTTAGAGCATGGCGGCAGTGGTTTCCGTGCAGATGCAGGCCCCTGGGTCAGGGTTGACCGGCGTCGGTGGAGGTGCTAGGTGTGCTAGGCGCTTCGTAGGGGGTTTGTGTGGGGCAAGGCCTAGGCTCTGGGGTCTGTGTCTGCCTCTCCTGCTGCCCCCCAGCTCAGGGGGCAGCGTGGTCCTGGAGACTGACCCTGCATGACCCGGCTGTGGTCCCTGTGGTCCCTGTGAGCCCTGTGGCTGTAGCAGAATGGGTAGTGGCAGCCAGGGCGGCTGTGAGTGTGGATGAGACTCGGGTCACGGCAGGCGCACCATAGCCACACACCCAACAGGCCCGCGCCAGTTCACACTTGTGCATACCCACTCACACACGTGCTCGTGCTGCACACATACGTGATGCCTCCCCAGGGGCTGCAGGGGCTGCTGTCCCCACACTGAGCCCCTGCTTCGAAGTGGCCAGGTCCAGGTGTGTCATCTTCACCCATGGAGGGTGAGCAGTGGTGTGCCAGGCAGGCCTTCCGTATCTTCCCAGAAAGGGAAGCCAAACCTGGGGCGCTGTGTGTTCCCTAGACCCTGCCCTGCAGTGGATGGGGTCCCGCCAGCCCTGCGTGCTGTTCCCTGGAGAAGCAGCCAGGCCTAGTGCTACTTTTAGTGGGACACGTGTCACAGAACCAGGTGACTGTCACTTCTGGGCCGTTTGAGGGGTGCACGAATCATTTTTCTCTCCTCCCTCCATGGAAATCTGTGCCGCTGACGCAGAGCATTTGGCTTTGGGAACAGGCCTGGCAGTTGCTGACATGAGGGCAGGAATGCCTGGGAAGCCAGGAAGGTGCCTGGGGTGGCTGGAGAGGCAGCCCTTGTGTGTGCTGACCCGCAGGAGGAGGGCGCGGCTGTGGGGTGGAGGCCAGCACAGGCGGTTGGGTCCCGGCTCTGCGACCGCTCTTTGGCCGCTGACCTGGGCCACTTTGTCCTGCTCACCTGGGCGGCCTTGCGGGCCGCGCTGATGCAAAGGGTTACATGTGCGAAGCACCTGGCCCTGGCCAGAGCCCAGAGGGTCCCTGTGGTCATAGGGTAAGAAGAGCCCAGCAGCTCCTGGAGGGCGAGCCAACCTGGAGAAGCTTCCTCTCCAAGACTCGGCTGTGCTGTGGGGAGGGGAAGTGACCCCAAGGCCAGCTGTGGTCCTGGCAAGCAGCGTCACCCGGTTAGGGCTTCCTGTGCTCGCCGGGGCTTGCTCTGGTTTCTGGCTGAGCTTTTTGGGCACTTGGGGACTGCAGTGAGGGCTCTGCCTGCTGGAGCCAGAGGACCCTCCGGCTGTGGGACCAGTGGTGGCCTGGATGAGTGCAGAGGAGGAAAGTCCAGCTTCAGGCAGCCCTTCAGGGAGGGGACAGGGATCGCCCGAGAGTGACCCGCCGGCAGCAGGGACGGCCCTCCTGATCTGTTTGTGTCTGCAGCACGAGGTCACTGCCTGGCACTGGAAACAGTAGCTCAGCAAATATTTGTCCATCAAAGGAGTGTGGGGGCCGGACCACCCAGTTCCGGCTCCTCCCCTGCAGACAAGGAAATGGCCACAGGGGAGGGTCTTTCATGCCATCTCCAGGGTTGGGCGGGCGGGCAGCACTAAAGGGCTGGGGCTGGGGCTGTGGTGTGCTCCTGTCCCGTGTGTTGCTGATTTAGGGCGGGTCTCAGGCTGGGTCCTGCACCTCTGAGCCCAGGCTGGCTGCACCTCTGCAGGGGGCTTCTGGTACAGCTCACCGGCCCCCTGGGCTGGTGGTGTGGTCACACCTGCTGGCCTCGGTGGCCATGCTTCAAATGGGGTCACAGCTCCATGGGAGCTTTGGCAGAGGGAGGCAGGAAACATCTGGCCAAAGAGAAAGGACAGCCGTGCCCCTGCGTCTTCCAGGTCTCGGCCTCTCTGTTCCTCTCTCTGTGCCTCCCTCTTTGGTGGAAGCAGGTGGGGATGCAGCAGTGTGGTGAGGCCCTTACAGAGTGGGGTGCTCAGGCCTGCCTCAGGGAAACCCCAATACCTGCACCCCTGGGGCAGCCCCACCTGCAAGGGGACTGGAGCCGGGTTTCGTGGACACCCAGGCTGGAAAAGGCCTCTAACAGCCGCTCACCCCTGTGCCACCACGATCTTGATTTCTTAATCTGCGTTTTGCACATGGGCTGAGGAGATGTCAGCGTCCCCAAGTGCTGCTCGTGTGTCCCCAGGGTCCCAGCGACAGCAAGGCGAGCCCAGGCCTTCATGTGCCAGGGTGGCTACCTGGTGAGCCGGGCCCATGAGGCTAGACCTCCTCAGACCCCCACACTCTTGGGGCTCAGAGTGATGTTGGGCAAAGGTCTCAGAGGTGCTGTGGGGTCTGCAGCCTGGGTAGTGAGGCCTCCTGGGGTCGGAGAGGCCTGTGCCCAGTGCACGCCCATGGGCGTCCCCCAGAAGAGGCTCGTGTGCTGTGGTGTGGGGTCAGCGCAGTCCGCCTGGCCTGACACGGGCGTGGGGGTCAGCGCAGTCCGCCTGGCCTGACGGGGCGTGAGGTCAGCGCAGTCTGCCTGGCCTGACAGGGGCGGGCTGGAGCTCTGCGGCGTTTGTGAATAAATCAGGTGCTAAAGAAGACTCATGTTTGCGCCCACTGTCACGCCTGGGGTGGGGCACATTTGGGTTCTTCCTATCTGTTGCCTTTGCAGAGACTCAAGGTCCCTCCCAAAGATGCCAGGCATGCTGTGCATTTGAGGTCTGGAGTCCCTTGTCATTCTAGAATGTTCTGTTTCCTCTTGGCGTCTCCTCTCCGCCCTCCCTTCTGGCCCTGACACCCTTGGGGCCCCTCTTCTGTGGTCACAGGGCTTCCCTGGGTGGCCATCAGTCCAGGTGGGATGACAGTAGTGACTGGGAGCACCTGACGCCCCCCTTCCTGCTATTCTGCTTCCCAGGAGATGTTCTCTTCCAGATGGCTGAAGTCCACAGGCAGATCCAGAATCAGTTGGAAGAAATGGTGAGCCCCACCCCAGCATGGCCCCATGAGGAGGGGCAGGCGCAGCGGGAAAGCTGGTGGCAGTCCTTGGCCATGTCCACTTAGGAACAGTCCGGGTTGTGCGGCCACACTCAGAAGAAGGGAGGGAGAGAGAGACCTTGGCTCAGGACACAAGGCACACTCCAAGGAGGACGTGGGAGAAAAGGGCACGGGCCAGACTGTGGCCGCATGCTTTGCTGGCCACGGTGGCCATCCAGGACACACTGGGCTCCAGGGAGAGTCCTGACCACAGCCCCAGCCAAACCCCAATCCTGCGGCCCACAAGACTGGAAGCCAGAGGGGAACACACAACCAGGGCATGCTGCTGGCTGCTGCTTCGCAGCATCCCATATAAAGCCTGGGGTCCAACCCTGGTTTGAGTTCAGGCCCATGGCTCCTGCAGCCCCTCAGCCTGTTTCGGAGTGCTCCCTGGCATGGCACAGCCGAGGAAGGAAGGGACCGCTGTTTCTGTTTCCCTTGTGAGAAACGGACCCTGTGGCTGTTGAAGGCCAGATTGTCCGGCATTCCAGACGTCTGTTCAGCACTCAATCCAGCACCTCCTCCCACCCAGCTCCATAGGCCCCACCCAGCTGTGCAGGGCCATGGCTCATCAATCGGGGGAAGGGGTGGTCCTGCACAGCTGGGGCGCCCGGTGTCCCGTAACCACCACCCCAACCCTGCCTGGCCTCCTGTTCCCGGTCCATATATTAGAGCTGATTGTTGATGTGTTTTTTCTCCATGTCCAGCTGAAGTCTTTTCACAACGAGTTACTCACACAGCTGGAGCAGAAGGTGGAGCTGGATTCCAGGTACCTGAGTGTAAGTGCACGCTGGCCGCGCCTGCTGGGGCCCCGTGCCCGGACTCCAGCCCTCCCCGCTGCCTGCCACTCCTTCCCTCCACATGGAGGGAGCTTCCCCTGAGCTCCCATCCCCAGCTCTGACTTTATTGCCCATTTGGACCAAGTCCCCTGGTGTGCCCCAAATGCAACCTGTGGGTGAACCCGTTGCCTCTGACGCCCCACGTGCTCGGTTCCATGCCCTGGCTTTGGCCACTGTGGTGAAGCTGATGCTTGACTCTGCTGCCTGGGGGTACAGGAGCTCCTTCTCTAGCCTCTGCAGTTTCACTGGGCTCTTGGCCCGGCCTGCCCCACGGCCCCTCTTGTCAGTTTGCAAGAAGGCTTGGGGCTGAGGCACTGCCTGAGGGCTTGGGGGTCATTTCTGGCTCTCGTGGTGGGCGGGAGTGGTGGGTCTTGGCCACTTTCTCCAAGTCTGATTTTCACATTTGGGGAGCAGAGAGCTGCCGTGCAGTGGGGTGGGGTTGGGCTGAGGCTTCTCTCACGCTCTCCCCATCTCTGATTTGCAGCTGAGCGTGTGCTGCCGGACAGTGAGGCTGGGAGGGAGTGGCGGGGCTGCCAGGGGACCCCCTGAGCCAGAGAGCGAGCCTGGAAGGGAGTGGCAGGGCTGCCAGGGGACCCCCTGAGCCAGAGAGCGAGCCGGGAAGGGAGTGATGGGGCTGCCAGGGGACCCCCTGAGCCAGAGAGCGAGCCTGGAAGGGAGTGGCAGGGCTGCCAGGGGACCCCCTCAGCCAGAGAGCAAGCCTGGAAGGGAGTGGTGGGGCTGCCAGGGGACCCCGCCGTGGGGCTCATGGGCCTCGGCTCTGTGTTTTGTTGTTTGAATCTCAGGCTGCACTCAAGAAGTACCAGACGGAGCAGAGGAGCAAAGGAGACGCCCTGGACAAGTGCCAGGCCGAGCTGAAGAAGCTTCGGAAGAAGAGCCAGGGCAGCAAGAATCCTCAGAAGTACTCTGACAAGGAGCTGCAGGTAGGCCCGCCACCCCTGCCGCGGTGCCTCTCCCACTGCCTTGGGACTGCTCACCGCTCGGCCCCCCTTGGCCCCAGGGAGTGGACAGCAGCCCGCTAGGTGGGATTGGCAGAGGCAGGCTCTGCCCCCGTAGACCTCGGGAGCGGCGGACCCGACGCCCCCAGGATGGCAGGATGGTCGGCTCCACCTTCGGGGCTCTGTCCTGCGCTCTGCAGCCTCCCAGAGTCCCTGAAAGGTTCTCTGCCAAAGGAGCAGAAACCCGGATGGAGTCCTCCTACCCCTATTCCCCCGGTTCCTGCCCAGGAGTCAGGCCCCAGACTGTTCCTCTAAGCGGTCATGACCACCTCCCGCAGTGGTGGGTGCCCAGGGGCGGGCGGCGTTTCAGGTTCCTCAAGGGAGTGGCTTCGGTGTTGTCACGGTCCCACCAGCATGACAGTGCTGCGTGCTGAGTGGGCTTGGACTTCGGGTGGTCTGGCCAATGACGAGCATGGCCCGATGTGTGCACACCAGACCCAGAAACCCCTCACCCACTTGCTGGGGTCATAGTGATGCAGATGAGAAGGGAAACACACAAAGCAAGATGGACAGTCACTTGTAAAGGAAACATCAGGAAAGCCCCTGGGCCAGTCATCCAGGTGGAGCTTCTGGGCCACACCCTGGGGTGGGCAGGGTGTGGCTGTGGGTGAAGCCTGGGCCTCCAGGCTGCACCCTTCCTGCCAGTGATCAGGTGTTCAAGCCATGGCAGCCCCGCACACACCTATCATGTGTGCGTGTGTCTGCGTGTGAGCACCACTGTCTCCTTGGTGCAGGACTTGGGTGCTCACGAATGCTTGTGGTCTTGCCCTGGGACTGGGAGGCCCGTTCTTGCTCAGAGCCTGTGCTTCACTCCCTCCTTAACTGCAGGGAAGCCAAGCAGGTGTGCCCATACCCTGTAGGCCAAGCTAGAGGTTTTCCAGTGTGGGATCACCTGCCGAAGCTAGAATCGGCCCCAAGGTAGAGGACAGGACTGGGCAGGAGCAGATGAGAGAATAAGTGAGGCCCTGTGGAAGCAGCCCTGTGGGGGTCCCGGGGTGCCGCAGCTGTCCACAGACAGCCATCAGCCATGCTGGGTGCACAGCTGCAGGGACACGATTCTGGCTATTCTCTGGGGTGCCCTGCCCTCTCTGGCCACCTCTTCCCAGGTCCCCAGCCTTTGTTTTGATCCTGTTTTTCACTCCAGGTAAGCTGTGATGTGTCTTCTCATCCTTCCCATCTTTTACTACGGGTAAGCTGCAATGGTCTTTCTAGTGACTGTCACTGCCCATCTCCGTGGCCTCGATGTTCCTCCCTGAGGCTGCCACAGTGAACCTTCCGAGAGCTGTTTCTGTGAACAGATCCCTCGTGGTGGGAATACTGGGTCGAGGTGGAGTGTGTATGTTGCTATACGCTATGTCTATTTTTCTTTTCCTCCCTCCTTGGAACGCTTTGCTACTTTGCTTTCTGAAGACTGAAGCAGAAGGATGAGGCTCCGAGGCCTAGCAGGGTCATGCTACCTCGGAGTGGGCCAGGGCAGCGCAGGTCGGAATGGCCCCTGAGTACCTGGGCCGGGTGCGAGAGCTGCTCTTAGCAGGAACTTTCCTGGGGCCAGCTTGGTGGCCTGGGCACGGGGGTACTGAGGCCAGCTCACTGAGGACTCACCTGCCTGCCAGGGGTCCAGGAGCCTCCCCTCTCCCCTTGAGGCACTGTGGGTTTTGGTAACAGCCTTATTGAGATGTGATTCGCATCACCAGCAGTTCACCATTGCGAGGGCACAGTCCAGGGATCTGGAGTGTTTGCAGCTGCGCATCCATCACTCAGTCCTGGCTTTCCGGGCTGTCTCTGTCCTGATGGGCCAGAACCAGGAGCCCAGGAGGGTCAGGAATGATGGCAGCTTTCTTGTCTGTGGCTGCGAGTTGCCGAGGGAAATGGTCCCCCCGGCAGCAGTGTGGGGGCCTGGGCAAGGGCCGTGTGGGCAGGGAGGGCAGGCAGGGCTCTGAAGTGCATGGCGGGTTGAGGTTGCAGTGGGTGTGAGGCGACAGTGGCCTAGCAGCTCCCCTGGAAAGTCCTCTGCCACCCGGGTGCAGACGTCCTTGGCGAACCTCATCCTCCTGGCCTCCTAGGGCCCCTCCCAGGAGATGTGTGATGTTGGCCTTTCTTCCTGGGCCCCAGGGGCACCTAGGCTCTGCACCCGATGTGGCTCCGCACCCCTGGCTGAGTGGCCTCCTTTCTCCAGAACCTGCAGCTGCTCCTCCCCACCCACTCACCAGAGGACCTGTGGGTGGCCCCAGGCTGGTCATCCCCACCCAGGCACAGCCTCAGGGCTCTGGAGTCAGGCTTAGGCTTGGACCCTGCTCTGTCCCTCATTGGTCACATGGCTGCACAAACACCAGAGCTTCTCAGAGGCTTAGATTCCCCATTTGTGTCCCTACCTTTCTCTCTCTCTAAGCACTGACGGGAAGGGCTCTGGGGTCAGGAAGAGCTGGGTCGGCCTTCTCACAGCGCCTGGTGGGGGCTCTCCTGGACCTACCTTCCTTCTGTGTTAGTGGTAGACTTTTAACCACCCAGGTGTTTTATTTTTCCAAAGGCACCGAGTTCCTTCCGGAAGGCTAGGTCTCATATTTCTCCTGCATCCCACTTGGTGCCCAGCACAGGCTGGTCACAAGGTGGATGGCTAGTAAGTACTCAGTGGTTTCAAAACATTTTGGGGTGTGAAGCAGAGGGAGCCACAGCCCGGTGCGCCTTCTGCTCCCCTGTGGCCTGGAAGCCCAGGAGGCCAAGCCGGGGAGTCGTTGGCATCTCCTGCCCCACAACTGAGTTTGAGGGGCCGGGATACTCGGTGTGTGGCTGCACACGCCCCCCCTGAGCTGGGGAGAGGCTGCTGCCGCTGTCCTGGGGTGAGTGCCGGACTGCCTGGCTGGGATGAGCTGCCAACCCCACTGCTCCAGTCTCCTTGCCACCCAGGGCTGTTCCTGCTGGTTCCCATTGCCTTTGCAAACTCAGCCAACGACTCTGACTTCTATTTGAGGGTGTGGCTCTGGGGCCTCAGCTGTGGTACGTCCTCTCAACTCCTGAAGAGAGGAAGCACCCTGGCCTGGGGAGCTGGACTGGCTGGCCCCCATCCAGTCAGTGTACAGCCCTACCCCTCCAGTGCATTCCACCCGCTGTCACTAGTACAGCCCCGCCCACACCGGTGTGGCCTCACCCTTGCTTGTGTGGCCTCGCTTCTTGGTGCAGGAGGCCCTGCCCCTCCAGTGCGACCCACCCCCACTTATGTGCCCGCCACACAACATAGGCCCTCCTAGCTGGGCCTCAATCCTGGCATGCCTCGTAGGGGCTACTGGCCTGGGGCCTGGGATGTCAGCAAGGTCTTGGTGGTGGCGGAGAAAGGGCCTGTTGGAAGCCCTCTTGGGAAAGCAGAGGTCTCTTCACTGGTCTCTCCATTCCTAAGGTGGCTGATTGCTTCCCAGCTGTTCTACAGACCAGCCCAGTAGCTGCACCCCACGCTGGGGGCAGCCCTGGGAGTCTCTACCCAGAGAGTATAGTTCGTGGGGCTGGCCTGGAGATCCCTGCCTCGGTCCTTGGACCTACCTGCCCCCAGCTCTCCAGTGTGTGTCCTGTGGGCTCACCAGTGACAGTAGCCTTGCCTCTAGTCCTGAAGACACTGGGAGAGGCAGATGGTCCACACACCATTGGGGTACAGGGTGGGTGTCTGGCCCATTTGGGCTTCTGGGGCTGCTTTCTCGAGGTGGGCAGCTGGCCTGCCGGAAGTGGAAGTGACTCCATGCAAGCATGGCCGGAAGCCCATGTCAAGCCAGGGCCATGTGTAGCAGAGAAGCAGAGGCCTCTGTGCGGTTCCCAAGCTGTCCCTGCCACAGAGGCCTTTCCCTTGGAGACTCTCGAGTGCCCCCGGGTCGCCAGCCCTGGTGCAGCTGAGGGAGCACCTCGTGCAGTTGGAGGTTGGTTAGGGAGCTCTGTGGGCTGGGGAGTCCCACACCGACAGGGTCCCCCACATCGGCTGCCATTGATGAAGGTGAGGTGGTGGCTGGCACCTGACTCTGGTCTTCATGGGTGCGACATGCAGTGTCATTGTCAGGTATGGGTTCCTTCAGCACCTAAGAGCTGGGTGTCTATGAGTGATTATTTCAGGGGTCCCCGGTGGGCTCAGAAGCCTGGTGCTAGGTGCACCCCAGTTGAGCTGCATGTGCAGAGCACCGGGCTCCTGGGAGCTGTGAGGCTGCCAGGCAGCAAAGCTGGGCCTGTGGCATGTGTGAGGAGCAGCTCCATGCTCCAGGGTGCCCACAAGGCCGAGGCCCCTGATGCTCACTGCCCTCCCTCACTGCCAGGCTCATCGTGTGGCCTGAGCGGAACCAAGGACACAGGACAGCAGCCCCTCGGGGGCAGAGGTGGGGCTGCAGAGAGGGGCGGGCGTGAGGTCAGCCAGGCCCTGCCCCAGAAAGGCAGGTAGAGTGGCTTTCTCTGTCTGCCTGCCAGGGTGCCCTCGAGTGGGGCTGGGCCGGGGCCTCTTACGTTTGAGAACTGCTTGTAATTGAGATGGTGTTTTGGGATTTCCAGAAAAGAAGTAATTTTAGTTATAGGTCAGGGCGCCAGAGTTAGGAAGCATTTGAGGCGTTTGTTAACTAGGACGGGAGAGCTTTACGTAAGGGGCACGGCCTGGGGCTGCCAGGCCAGTGGTGCCTTCACTTCCTGGGAGTGTGGCCACTGCCACGTTTGCTGGGCCAGGTGCTGACAGACGTGCCCATCTGAGTGGAGGGGATGTGGATGTTCTCCAGAGCACACGGGGCATGGTGGACACGCTGGGGTAGAGGACCCCTTCTCTGGGTTTACTAGTGTGCCCGTGGGGCATGGTCACAGGCCTGGTCCACCTCCTCCTCAGAACAGAGGGTTGTGGCTGTTTCCACAGGGCCCAGGATGGGGCCCAGAGCAGAGCCCAGACTGTGCCCACCCCTCTGGGACAGAGAGGC